TAATTCTCTCCCACTGCACATCCTTAGCCCTTTGTTTCCACCCTCCCCTCCCTTGGATCCTCATACTCATTTTACAATAATGGTTTTGTACAGTACTTGTCCTTATGGGACTGAGTTAGTCCACTCAGCATAATGTTCTTTAGTCCTTCCCAAGTTAGATAATAATTTACAAAAAAATTTCTCCTGAGTGCTGCGTAGTATTTCATTGTGTGAATAAACCATAATTTCTCAAATCGATCTATTATGATTGGACATTTGGGCTATTTCCATGTTCTTGTGATGGTGACTAATACTACTGTGACAATTTTTGTACAAATTGCTATAATTTCTTTTTTTGTGATGTCTGCTACATGTTTTGTGTCAGTTTGAGTGGGTTGTGAATTTCTAATTGCCCATTTACTTTAAGTTTTTATATTTGCTTGAAAATGGATTTTCACAAAATTGCATTTTAGTATTTTTATTTCAGTTGTTTCTGTTTGTCATCACTCCTTTCATCTCTTATTTGGATTATCTGTGTCCTATATTATCCTTTATTCTCTTTGCCAGTGATTTGTTGATATTACTAACCTTTTTTGAAGAATCAACTCCTGATCTTTTTCATAGTTTAAATTGTTTTCTGTTCCATTTATTTGTATCCTAAGTAGCAGTGTTTACTTATTGCTATAAATTGACTTCTAAGCACTGCTCTTCGCTGTGTCCCAGGGGTGTTGGTAAGTTGTTTTCATTTTCATTTGTCTTGAGAAACATTTTCATTTAATTTTTTATTTCTTCTTTTACACACTCATGCTGAAGCATGATATTGTTTAGCTTCCAGTTTCATGAACTTTTTTTCTCCTTTCTCTTCTTACTGTTGATTTCTCCTTTTATTAAACTACAGTCTAAGAAAATGCTTTGTATTATTGTGTATTTTTGAACTTATTTACAACGTGATATAAAATATAATCTGTCTTGGGGAATGATCTGTGCATGCTGGATAAAAATATTTACTAAGCAGGGTTTTTTTAGGGTTGTTGTTGTTGTTGTTATGTGCCATCGAGTCTTTTCCGACTCATAGCGACCCTATGCACAACAGCTCTAAACCCTGCTCTATCCTGCGCCAACAGCACCGCCTCTGACACACCCATCCCGATTACCCAAGTCACCGAATCAATCCATCTCATAGAGGGTCTTCCCCTCCTGCGCTGTCCCTCCACCCTCCCAAGCATGATGTCCCTCTCCAAGGACCCGTCCC